CCCTCCGTAGCGCCGCCGCCTGGGAGAAGCCCCCCGACCCCACTGGTGGAGGCGGCGGCGGCAGCGGCGGCAGCGACCTTCCCAGGGAAGCCTCAACCGTGAGCATCTGCCTGCCCGCGGGCACAGCCAGGGCCGGGGAGGCGGGAGGAATGGGGGACCGCTTGGTTCTGGAGGAGGAGGGGGCTAAAGGGGGGCTTCCCCCCAGGGCTAAAGGGAAGCCGGGCACTTCCAGGGGGCTTTGCAGGAGCTGAGCACTAGCTGCGCCATGAGAGACTAAAGAGGGTCTTCTGAGCATGTACCAAGTGCTTCTCCTTCACCACCTGAGTGTCGGAAAGGGCTTGGAGAGGCAAGGCATCCTCTGGGTGGCTTCCCTGCCTGCCATTCCTCTAGAGCTGCTCCTCTCGATCTTGCCTTCACAACGGTCCTGTGAGGTAGAGGAGGCTGCTGCCGCCCCAGGGATCCACTGAACACTGTTGAGTGGGGTCTTGACCGTGGGGTTTTGGGATGAGAGCGTTTCCCCTCCAAATCCTCTTGGAAAGGCACTTCCCTTGGCCCGTCAGGGGTTCCTGGAGCCTGCGTGAATAAATACCAAGGCTGGCCCTGGGGCCCGAGCCTGCCGGGCCGCGCTCTGCCCTCTGCCCAGATAGCAACTCGAGCTTAGTGGTTGGTTTGCTCAGTGCAGAGGAAAGGGCACTCTGCGTATCCCCAGAGGCTGGCTGCAGAAAGGCCCTGGCGCTGCAACCGGGCGGGAATGATGCCTCCAGCAGCCATCCTGGAGCATCTTTCATAGAGCCAGTTCAGGAGAAGCAGCCCTTGAGGTGAACTCAACTCCTGGCAGAAACAAGTAAGGCTCCGGGTGCGCCAGAATTCTTCGGGCAGCTGGGGGGTGAGATGGGGGGGCACACAAGACATTCCTGGGCAGAGTGAAGAACTTTCTACCCTGCAGCTGATCAGAGGGGGGCTGGGGCAGGCATGGAAGAGGTTTTCCCTCTTCAACAAAAGAACAGTTTCCCAGCCCTCGCTGTAACCAGGGTCTCAGAGGGAGCCTGGACTAGCTGGGCTCCCAGTCCCGCTGGGAGTACCCAGCAGTAGAAGGGCAAGATGGAGACGTCCTGGCTTGGGAGGGGGCGGCTCCACCCACCCGAGTTCCTTTGACTTTTGGCTCTCTTAACCACTGTCGTCAGATAAGGGCCCTCAAGGCAGAAGCTGGATCCGGCCCCCACTCTGGTTCTGGTGTCCCCTCCACCCAAACCAACCCAGGCCTGTGAGGCTCTTGCAGACGCATCCTGGCTGACTGGGCACAAGGCCAGACCCATCTGCTCCAGCTCTGCCACCCTGACTGGCACCCCAGCCTGCCTTGCCCCCTCATGCCAGTCAGAAAGCTCCCTCCCTGGACCCCCTGTGGAAAGATGTGGGAAGTCAGGAAATGCAGGCACTTGGGGCCAAGGAGTCCAGGCGTGTTAAGGCAACCCCTAAGTTGCTGACTCTTAACTGTGGGTCTTCTCCCCACACTGGCATGCGTTAAAAGAGACTTCCGCTCAGTGTTCGAACACCCCACGTAACTCAGGAGATCTTGAAAAATGCAGGGAGGGGAGCAGGAAACGGCATATTTCCAGCATGCTGAGAAGGAAGACAGCTCTCCTCCGTCACTCTGACCCTTCCAAATGTATTTATATTTTCATTTTTACTGACTCGCAGTATGGCTAACAAAATTGTGGCAATAATACAAACAAATAATGGAGTTTAAGGCAATAATGAAATCGTACAAATGCGATTTTAAAATCACAGCGCGCACGGTGGTGGGAGCAGAGACAGCCACCACACATTTCTGCCTCCTTCAAGCTGAACTGGCTCCCCTGCCATAAGCCTGCTGCGTGGGAAGACCTGGACTCTTGCATCTGTTCCGAGCTGGGTTTGGGACGTCGGCAGCCTTGGAGGGTGACTTTTGCAGGGGAACGGGGTGGGGAGAGGGGCCTTGCTCCACCGGATCTTTCCTTGGCTTTTAACGCCATCAACCAACCTTGGCTGAGTCCTACGGACAGAGCCTTTTCTGGAGTGGCTCCACATTTTGAGGATGCTCCTCTCTTTGTGGGCCTTTTGGAGGCTTTATTCCAGGCGGTATTTGGTTTTCTTATGCTTCTAGCTAAGGTTTTACCGGCTAGTGCTAACTTATTGTTGTTTGTTTATTATTGCAACTACTTATATATTTAATATTAAGTTTATCCTCGACCTTTTCAAAATATGATATAACCTGCTTTATGAGGCTCCAGAACATGGTACAGATACAAGTAATCCATGATCGTCCAGAAGGCAACAGGGCTACATGATCGTTTTAGCTAGAAATGGCAGATTAGTTGTCAGAATTACTTGGATGAAGGGATTAAAACTCTCCTCCCACCCCAACAGTAGTTATTTGTGTGTTTCTCTGATTGATATCCTGGCTTTGCTCCAGGCAGTGGACATCTCTCCCCTCCAATTGTTCTGCAGAACAAGAGCCTCGTGAAGGAGTTGGCAGTAGATTTCCAATCTGTTCATATTTTTAGGTGAAATCAATGAAAACTCCATCAAGCGATGGCTGGAAATCATGAGCGTCTCCCGTCTAGGATGCCCGGACTCTCAGTGTTCACACAACACAGTTAACTTGGTTATTGTATTAGCTCACTGGCTGGGCAGGCCTTGTAAGCAAAACATAAGCCGTCTGGCCAGAGACTTCAGTAGCTGGTTAAGAGTAACCAAGCCCGGCATTTTGTGCATAGGCAAGTCGCTAAGCTTGAACAGATCTGGGTACACCTCGTGTGAACACAGCCAGGGGCTTTTTCTCTTGGCCGAGAGGTCCCAGGGACACCCCAGAGGCTCCGTGGGCAAGCACTCCCTACTCCGCTACCAGGAGCACGGCAAGGAGTGTGGGGGAATAGGGCCGTCCAGCCAAACCCTGCTCAGGGAAGAACAGGGTGGGTGAGAACCCAGCCGAGCCTGAGGGGGACGGGACCAAGAGGCAGGCAGGCAGGCGGAAGATCAGGCGGAGTCTGGAGCCAGGAAGTGGGCTTGAGGCAAGATGGAGCACTTCAAGCCAGACTCTTCGCACAGAGCAGGAAGGGCTGCTGTGCTCGGACAAGGCATTTCGGCAGGGGGCAGGTGGGAGAAAGACCAGAAATTTCACCCCAACCTTTCACTGTGAAATGAGAACTTGCAGCCCCTTGGCCCAATGCGGCTCACTGCTCTAGAGCCATGTGTTTTTTTTTACTGTAAACCACCCAGAGTCACTCTGCAGTGAGGTGGGTGGTGACAAATTTAAAATATTTGAAATATAAATAAAGTAAATAAATACCGCCCCCCCCCCCAATCAGGGGCTGGGCGAGGAACAAAAGGGCGGACTCTAAAGAGGAGACCCGGCACCCAGCTCAGCGGGAAGAGCAGGAAGGTCCAGGTCTGGAGAAGGCTGAGCTGCTGCCTGCCACGGAGGCAAGACTCGGTACACGGACCAAGGGCCTGGCTCAGCAGAGAGTCCCAGCTGTGTGTGTGTGGAGGGGGAGTTGTGTGCACACCCGCTGGCAGCCATTTGGCTTGAACTCGGCTAGAGGTAAAGGGGGAACTGTGCTTAGTGGCTGGAAGTCTGCCTCAGTTCCTCTTCACGTAGGACCTGTAACACCTTTTGGCCACCTTCATGTACTCAGATTACCTGAATCTCTATAAGCTAATCTTATTTAAGTTTACAAAGTTTAACGAAACTATTTTTTACAGAGTAAGAGATTGTAATAGATTCGTCTTAAATTAACATTCCTATCCCCAAACTTCCTTTATGGATAGAAGAGTGAGGCTGTGTCCCCTGCTGTAGCTTAAGTGATCAAAACTCCTGTCTCCCACCAATCAACCAACTGAGCAAAGCAGGAACAATTAGCCCATCAATTAATGAATGCATTGCATCAAGCCCCCCTCCCCACGCGCTCCACGAAGAGGAGCACCATAGGCCTGGAGCATGGTCAAGCTCAGGCCTGCACGAACTCCTAGACGTGGTTATTTACCCAGACCAGAGATTAGCCGGGTAGGTGCTTGTCAGACTCACCCAAACAGGTCCGGGGGCTGAAAATCCCTGACACAGGGAACTGGCGGCTGGGCTGGGGATTGTGGGAGGGAGGCTGGCATCTGGGAAACCAATAGCAGGTAATTCCTCCGCCCGCTTCCCAAAGCTCACTGTCTTGCGGAGGAAGCTGTGCAAAACACCTCCTGTTCTCCGTGAAGCCCGTATAGTTCCCTGCTCAAAAAACAAAACCTACCAATAAAATCGATTCAGAACTGGCTCTCCAGATTTGTACGAATGTAAGTTCCTCTTGTTCTGTGCCTAATTTTGAAACTGAAAATAGGGCCTTTAAGAGCTGCCTAAGAAACAGGGGTCTGCCTTCTGTAAGATTTTCTTTATAACCCTCTCCATCTAGTTATTACAGACACCAAAGCTCTCCGCCAAATGCAAAAAACAGACGCTCCGCTCTTGAAAGTAGACCAGCCCGGGACCAAAGATTCCCCTGCTGCACCTCCACAGTTGGTGCCCCCCCCACAGGCCATCCTTTACTCCCTCTGGTGAAGCAGCAGCAAGGGACCCCCAGCACACTCTCCCCCACTCCTGGGCACATTGCTGAGAGCCCAGAGGGAAATTTGGGTTCTCCTGACCCCATCTGTCCACCCCCCAGCAGCTGCTTCTGAAGCTGCCATCGGAAGCGAAGCCAGCGCATGCATGTCTGGGACATAAATAGGACTGTGGCACAATAATCAAATTGGGGTCTGACCACAGGCTGTTGCCGGCAGGTGGAGGGCAGGGAGAGGTACCTGATGGGTGAGAGATGGGGGGGACCAAACTCGCCAGGCCCTCCAACTTTGCAAAGCAGCATCCATATGCTTGGGGGCCTCCCTCCCCCAAAGGGGAGCCATCATAGCCAACCCCCTCTAGATGCCCAGAGGTAAAGCTTTTCTTATGCAATTGCTCGGCTTCATTTATGGAATGTGACGAGGCCGCCCAGATGTGCTGTCTTCCCCACTCTCATCCTCCAGTGTCTTACAGTCTCTTTTTTTCCTACAATATCCACTGAGAAAAAGAACTCATTGCAAAATGTCCGGTTGGGAGCAGTAGCTTGTCTGTTTGGAAGGAATCCAGCGTGTTTAACATGGCAGAAAATGTTCAGCTGTCTGAGGATTACCTTTAGTTGCAGCTTTAGGGGGCACTTAGGAATAGAGGAAGCACCATGTGTCAGCGCACTTCATTTGACTCTCCAGGAACTGAGGCAGCTTTCTCAGCCCAGTTTTCCTTTCGTGCTTCTACCACAGGCCCACAAATCTCAGACATGCACACAAAAAGAGAGGAAAATCTTAAATACTGACATCAAATGGTGATGAATTTAAAAAGTCCAGTTTGGCTACATTTGCACAAGACACTTAAGTTGAATTAATATTCTTTTTTTTTCTTTTTGAATTTGCAAAACACATTGAATCACAAAATAAACAAATGGGGCTCGGTTCACACACGTTAAGCCTCAGAGAAGCCGAGCAATTAACAAAGCTGTTAGGTTTTTAACTGCTCAGGTGAAGTGTGTTATGCAAACACAGCAGCCTTTGTGACCCCTCCACAGAAGCCTCCATGCATTCAGGAAAAGCACGCCACTTATTTCTGTACTCCTCTAACAGTCAATATTGCTGTCATAAACCTTTTTGTTTTTTACTTCATGGCCATGTGGCCCTTGGGCTTCACATTTTCTCCCTTCTTCTCCCTCTTCATCTGAATGCTATCTATGCCCAGCTGAGAACAATGCCTCCAGATGACCTTCTAGGCCACCGGTCCTCCTACCATCATATACAGATAGTTCTCGCTTAACAACCATTAGTTTAACAACCGTTTGAAATGACAATGTTGAAAAAAGCTACTTATGACCAGTCCTCACACTTACAACCATCGCAGTGCCCCCACGGTCATGTGATTGCAATCTGGGAGCTTGGCAACCAGCCCACACTTATGGCGGTTGCGGCATCCTGGGGTCATGTGATCACCATTTGCAACCTTCCCAGCTGGCTTCTGGCAAGCAAAATCAATGGGGAACTGTGTGATTCGCTTAACGAGTGCGTGATTCACTTAACCATGGTGATTCACTTAATGACCACTGCAAAAATGCCATAAAATTGGATGTGGTCACCTGATCCCTAACAACCGCCCCGCTTAACGATGAATTTTCTGGTCCCTATTGTGGTTGTTAAGTGAAGACTACCTGCATCTGTGAATTTGAGGGGCCCAGAAACTTTTCTGTTTCGCATTTGTAGGTAGAAAAAGAAAGGAGGAAGCGCCAGGGATGCAACATTAAGTCCATGGGGTTCACTATCATCCTTGGAGTGACTGAGCTCCACAAGGAGAGCCCCAGTCGAGCAAGCTGAGATTCCATGTGAGAAAGAACACTGTGGACTGACCCCCTTTGTCCCTGCAAGGAGCACTGGTTGGGGCCCGTTCTATGTCACCTTTGCAACAAAGCCAGAAGGAAGGTCTGGGAGGTTTGAATCCAGATGCTATTAACGGTACTAGTGTGAACAAGCAGGGACTTCGATCTAGGCATTGTACAGACCAAATAATAGGAATGGAGGGAGGGGGAAAGCAGCTGAGATGGCATACCTGACAGAGGGCCCTTTTCTCCGTTTCATTCCTCTTAGACTTGGCTTCATTTAAATGATTCTGCAGGAGGGGGAATTTTCCCTGTCCAAACTCTTCCTGCTCCCCTGTGACTGTTATGAGGTTCCCCACAGGGATGTCTGGCTTCTGCTTGGCACGTCTGTCCTGTAAGTCCTCGGAAGACATCTTTCTTGGGTGGGCTATCTTTTCTCCGGAGAGGGGAAGGCGTTCTGTAGGAGCACGACTCCAGTCTCACCTCACAACTCGTTTCCTGTCTTGAAATGTCGCCCAGCCTGTCTATGATGAGGGGTGACAGGGGAATTTGTTCAGGATACTGCTTCTGAAGGGCTGGGCCAGCACATTTGTAGGGATGGCAGGCCAGGGGCAGAGCTGGCAATTTTCTTTCCAGGCAGCAGAGCACATCTGCCAGCTGCTGCCTCCTGAGCCCATTTAGAAGCAGGTGGAAACCGTAATCCAGTCCTGTCTTAATCTCATTTGGGCTGGTAATAGAAGAACCCAATGTCCTTCGAGGAGGGACGCAGCTCCTGTTCCCCCATTCCCTTTGTCTCTCCTTGCCCTGTCTCTAGGGCAGCCCTTCGGCCACTCGCCATATATGAGTTCTGGAGTTTTAATTCATTAATTGTTAACAACATGCTCCCATTTCTTTTAAAATGCGTCCCATTCCAACGAACAGATGGTATTAACTGCATGACATTGACTCCCTGGCTCAACCCTCACAATTCAGAGCTTCCTTCCAGAAGATGCTCCGTATATATTCAGGAGGGCTTGTGACGATGCTGAATTTGGACCACCTGTCACCAGTGTTTGTGAACAGTCTGAGGGATTGCGGGAAGGATGATCTCCATTGTGCGTGTCAGGGAGTCTGCACACTCATCATTTTATGCCTGTTTTGTCCCAATTTTGGGAGACCTCAGAAACCTCTCTATGGGGGCGTCTGGTTTCAACCAACCGAGGAGGTCAGTCTGGAACTTGCTGTTGTCGCTGGCCCTCATTCAGCCAAGCCACCTGGTTACACAATAGCCGCACTTTTCCTTTGTGCTGGGATCTGCCCCCTCCTGCACCTTGCCCCACCCCTAACCACCCTGGGACAATGATTAACGGCCTCCGCCTCGGCTTCTCCTCCATTTCCATTTCACGGCGGCTCAGAGCAGAGAGCAGTCAGGCCCGGGCTGCTTGCTAGGTGCCCGGCTCCTGGGTTTTACCCTCCTCTGCTTGGATCGCCTGCCAAAGACGCCACTGCGTAACTGCTTGGGCAATCAAGGAGACAGCCTCAGACCTGGCCCTCCAACAAGCCTCTTTTATGGCCTCATTTCTTCTCGAGGGGCAAGACCCAAGGTGGTCGAGGGAGGCAATGCCCAGGGTCTTAAAGATGGATGCTGAAGTTAAGTCCGGGGGTTGGGCTGGGGAATGTTGTCGGAATTATAGATGTTGGGGAAATGTTAAATATCTGCAAGGCACGTTTCTTATCAATCCTAACATTGTTTTACTGCTTTAACAAATAGAAGGTACACATTTGGCAGCAAGATTTGAGCCACTGGACTTTTTCACCAAATCCACAGAACCCCTCCCCCCCGGCCCATGTTTACTCAGAAAGCTCTGGTAGCTGCAGCCTAATTCCTCCTGTGGGTCCTGGATAATGCTGGGTTCTCACCTTGATGCGCCCACAACAGGTCTTTGGCAGTTCCTGCCCCACCTCCTTCTGACCTTCTTATCCTCCAGCAGTTAGCTGTTACTCGAGGGGGTGAAAAGCTCTCCCCCCAAGGCAGGACCTTTGTTTCTAGGAAGGCTATCGGAGCTGCAAGCGGCTGAATTGCTGGATCCCAAGGACAGCAGCACCAGGAGGCGCTAAAAGGTCGGAGGGCTGGAAACATCTGCAGTTGCAGGAATTCTCCGTGGCTCTGGACTGTCTTACTTAAAAGGCTTCATGCCACACTTCTGGTGGAAGTGAAACTTTGCTTTCCCTTTCTTCAAAAGATAAATTATTTTGAGGATTAATTGCACTCCCTCGATTTGGAAAAGGAGAGGAAGTCCTTGGTCTTTCCCTTCCTCTGGTGTCATATCTCCAGCCCAGCCCAGACATACCCCCAGTGCCAACTGGGACTCCTAGCCACATTCTTAGCCACATCCTGCTCTATTCCCAATGCCCCCCATGTTTTACAGAGCAGAAAAGAATTAGTTTGGCCTCCGACCCAACACCCCCTGCTAGCTGAGGATCATGGAAGTTGGGGGAAGCTGATGGAGACTACATTAGGCAGGATTTGTCCTTTTTCAAGAACCCCCTCCCCTCCTTTTTTTCCCTGGAGATTTCAGGTCCATTAACTTCTCTGCTGGAGTCTTGTCAGAGTGCACTGAAGGTAACTGCACCACATCAGAGTGACCTGGCATGCACATGGCCATTTTGGTGTGCGTTTGCTGTCAACAGGATGAAGCTATATTTACTCATGTCTGAAAACATCACTGGTGAAAGAAACATGGTTGAAGGGCGAGAGAGGACTGGGATCCAGGGAGCCCAGGGTTCCTGGCAGGTGCAGCCTGTCAATGACGTCACTTTTAATTTGGAGAAGATGGAGCGTGGTTGCTCCTTTCCACATCCTGGCTGGGCTGGTGGGAGCCCTGCTCTTGTAGCACCAGCCTGTCTCGCTCGGCTTTATTCTTTGCCCTTTAGAACTTGGCAGGAGAGCTTCTGGGAACCCTCCTAGCAGGGAAGGGGGTCCTCGTGACCTTCAGTTCCAGCCAGAAGGATTAAGCATCCCCAAAAGGTCAACGTTAATTTTTCAGGAGGCTTTTCTGTAGAGAGGAGAGTCAACCTGCCATTCCTTGAAAAATGATTAACAGCAGCAGACTTAATGCTCAGTGCGCTCTAAGAGTCCTAGAACAGAGCTCTGGATCTATCCGCAGGGATGCAGATTCCGGCTGTACATGTGTGAAAGATCAGCAGGGAGCACGGAGGTAGCCGAGTCTGGGAACCACCACCATTGTCTGCTGCTGCTGGCTTCTGTCTGGATCAGTGTGTGGACACAACACACAAACACTCTCAGCTCCACTGACGGATGCCCAATTTGCACTATTTTCCCCTTTTAAAGCAGAGGACTTCAAAAATCCATCCACACATCTGAGTCACGCGTGGAAAGCTTGCTGCTCTTCCAAGACCTTCCTTTGCGCCCTACCCGACTTAGCTGCAGAGGAACTTTTTCGTCATGGGACCCACATCCTGGAATAGCCTTCAAAAACTACTGTCCAGCTGTGCTACTACTCACTCTGGGAAAGCAGCAAGCCTTCTTGGCACATTCTTTATTAATAAGGATTTGCTACTCCTTTTTTTAAGTTTCAGTTTTGGTTATAATGCAGTTTTTAGACAATGTAAGCGTCCCTATTGAAAGACAAAACAGAAATCTCTTGACATAAAGTGAGAATGACAAAGAATCACCATGCAGTATGCAACTAATTAAGAGTCTAATCATCTCTAGTGACACCCACAGTATGATCAAAATGGGAGCACCCTATTGCTGACCAGACCGGAGCAGGACAGTTGAGAAATGCTTGAATTCCAAAGGAACTTTAGGAGGGTCAAATAAAATGTTACGAAGTGGTGATAGGGAAGGCTTTTACTTCAGGCTGGGCGTAGAGCAACGCCACCCAAAGTGGCACGGCAGAGAACTGTAGCCTAGCCCAGAAGCCTCCCCGTCACGTGTGCACTCTGCGATGCCGAGGGCCACGGGGACCCGATGAGGCTAAGTTGGGTTGGCTTACACTTTTTAATCTGTATACACTTCGCAACAACTGCGGCCATCCTTGAAAATATAAGCGCTCGCAACTGCTTGAATGTGTTGCCTTAAATATGCACCACTTGGCAATTTAGAAAGTTGGAATAATTGGGGGGCCTTTGAGGGGTTGTACACAGTAGGAGAGCGGAGGTGGGAGTAGTTTGACTTTGCGAAGTCTCTGACTCCCATTCTCACACTTTACGATAACAGCAGCAACAAAACTGAATTGCCGTGGCACAATCTCACGATGCTGAGGGGCTGCCACGAGAACCTGGGGGACCACACAGCTCATGGACTGTGGGCTGTTTGGTCCTGAGGTAACGACTGGCTTCTTTAAGGCGATTCATAGGATCCTAGAACTTTGTCACTTCCGTTGAAGTGGGGGAAGGGCAAGAAAGTGGGACCTGGAGTAATTCCCCTGCTTTTCATTGGGAGATCTGTATAAAATATTTAAAACAGTGTTTTTCAACCTTGGCAACTTTAAGATGTGGACTTCAACTCTCCGAATTCCCCAGCCAGCATCCACACATCTTAAAGTTGCCAAGGTTGAAAAACACCCATTTGAAAGGGGGGAAAAAAGCATTCAGAGAAAAATCTATGTTGCTCATCAGACTCTAAACCAAGTGTCTGGGTGTCTCATCCATGAGCCAGAAAAAGGGCTGCAGTGCAAGGGAAGGAGAGAGGGAGGGAGCTCGAGGTGATGGGAGGTGAGCATTTTCAGAAACCTTGCCCTAGTTCTGCTGTTCACCGCAACTGGAAGCGGTGGTTGCAATCTTTTTGCTCCCCTGGTGGGCAAGGGGGTGGGAAGCCTGCACAAAGCAGGAGCCACCTAAATGTTAGCAGTCAGTGGACCAACTGCCTTTTGGGCTGCCCCAACACACCTCTTGTCTCCTTCTAAGTCCAGACTGCAGAGTTCTCATCTGCAAACTCCTACATTGGGGGTTGATGTTCTTAGAACCTGGCATTTCAACTGCAGCTTTATTTGTGCTTCCTCTTCCAAACTTGCCATACCAGCCCACAGGTCTCCTCCGTGCAGGTCATCCCCTTTCCAAGGGGCCATGTTGTATTGACAAGAAGGGGGAGGGCGCCCCCTCCATACAGTCCCTGCTTCCCAGAACTGCCACGCAGACGATCACAGATTGGGAGTGTTTTGGCTGCTCGCCTGGGTGAGCATCAGTGCTGGTTTCATTCCTGGCAGCAGTTCGGCTTCGGGCCACCAATCTTAATGGTAAAAGAGATGCGCTTTCAGAGGCAGGCATGCTGCGCAGACATGTTTGTTTGTTGTAGTAAAAGTAGGGAAGAGTCTTGAGACACTTAGTCTAGGACATTGACCGCCCTCTGTTCTCAGCAGCTGTGGAGGTCCCAAAGCCTCCTTCCCCTGCCCTGAGAAAGAGCACTTCTTGGCTTCTCGGCATTCATCAGAAGTTGCACAATCCTTTTCAAATGCATATATATGTATGTATGTAACATCAGGGCGGGAAACCAAATTCCACCAGGAGACACTAAGGATATGTTTAGCCTTGAAGAAAGAGAACTGAGAGGGATAGAATACTGTAGAACAGGGCCACACATTTTCTTTACCTTCCCAAAAACACAAAGGCAGGTTTCCTAAGAGTATGAGCAATCTGACAGTGGAACCAACGGCCAAGGGAGGTTGAGGTCTCCTCTGCAGCTGGTGCTCAAGCAGACGCCGAACAGCCATTTGGCAAGAGAGCTACAATTTGGGTTCCTGCACTGAATGAGCAAGGGCTGGACTTGATGGCCCCTTCCAAATCTGTTTTTAAAATTATTTTAAGAATCTAAATCCAGGAAAAAAACCACATTTTTCTTGTACAAACCCATGCTCTGGCACAGCTTCCACCGTCCCCTGCTCCCTAGCCCAAAACCTTGCATAGTGTAACTTCTTTGTGAGTTACGTTCACTGAACTGGGTGAGGAAGAATACCATGTGGTTTTGTCACTAAAGGCAGCAAGTGTCAATGCACGTCTCATTTTCTCCCCAGGTCTGAAAAGCCAGGAAACACTGCTGGGCGACAGCCCAATCATGCAGATCAGAGAGATGGGTAGGAAAAGGCACATGGCACCATTTAAAGCATGACGAAGATCTTGCTTCATGACGGCTTCAGGAACTTCCTTTCAACAGCTTGTGCGGTTCTGTGGACACACGACGTCCAGGCACACGAGCTCCTGTTCTGAGCTAGGACCTGGGAAGAAACCCCCCAGGATGTGCAACACAAGCCAAGTCAGCTGGAGCTGCCCTGTAGACTCCAAGATAGATCACCTCTTCCCTCCCACGTTGTACATCATTGTCATCACCATGGGGCTCCCCACCAACTGCATGGCACTCTGGGCTGCCTACCTGCAGGTCAGGCAGAAGAACGAGCTGGGCATCTACCTGATGAACCTCTCCATTGCAGATCTGCTCTACATTGCCACTCTGCCCCTCTGGATTGATTACTTCCTTCACTATGACAACTGGATCCACGGGCAGGAGTCCTGTAAGCTGTTTGGGTTCATCTTTTACACCAATATCTACATCAGCATTGCTTTCCTCTGTTGCATCTCTGTGGATCGCTATCTGGCCGTGGCACATCCTTTGCGCTTTGCCAAGTTCCGGACGGTGAAGACTGCAGTGACCATCAGCGTTGTGGTGTGGACAATTGAGATTGGTGCCAACTCAGCTCCACTGTTTCACAATGAACTCTTCCATGATCGCTATAACCATACTTTCTGCTTTGAGAAGTATCCCATGGAAGAATGGGTAGCATGGATGAACCTCTATCGGATCTTCATAGGCTTCCTCTTCCCATGGATGCTGATGCTCTTCTCCTACCAGGGAATTCTGCGGGCTGTGCGTGGCAACATCTCCACCGAGAAGCAGGAGAAGGCTAAGATCAAGCGTCTCTCCCTCAGTCTGATAGTTATCCTCCTCTTCTGTTTTGCCCCCTATCATGTTATCCTGCTCTCCCGCAGCACTGTATACCTGAGCAAGCCTTGTGACTGTAGTTTTGAGGAAAAGATATTTGTGGCCTACCATACCTCCCTGGCTTTCACTAGCTTGAACTGTGTAGCAGATCCTATCCTCTACTGCTTTGCCAATGAAGGTGCTCGAAGTGATGTAGCCAAGGCCCTCTCCACCTTGGTGCGCTTCCTCACCAGCTCCAAACCCCAGGAGATGGCTAGTGCCTCACTTACCCTTGACACCCCTCTTTCCTCCAAGAAAAGCATCTTCTGCCGGCAGCCCTTGGCCTTCCCACTGCCCCCCTCACAGGTTGGGTTGGGGATGAGAGATGAGGATCTCCACATGAAGATACTGACTTTTAACCAGTGAACGTTCCCTTGGAAGCACCTGGTGCTATTCCATGCAGCATCTCGAGGATGCAATGAACTGATTCTTGAAGATCTAATAATAATATTACAACAATTTAAAAACATTCCTGAGTCTTAGTACATTTTTATCACTTGTTCCATACAGTAAGACAATTGATGATAATACATAGCGTTCCTATAACACTTTCAAGCATCCAAAGACTTCACATATATTCCCTTATCATCCATACTACAGCAAGGAGGGCATTATTTCCCTCATATTGTCAGGTGGCACAACAGCACATCACCAGTGATGCCATATTGTGTCACATAAAAATTGAACCTGGGGGTAAGGCCAAAGCTCCACCTAATTCCACAGGCTGACACCAGCAGAGGGCAGGCAGACGATCCCTGTAAACTCACATGATGGACACTGATAGTAAAACCGTGTTGGTTCCCATAGGTGTACCGTGTGGGCTGTGTGACACCATGTGGCAGGACATCCCACAAGTTACTATTTGCTTGGTGTAAAAACCATCCTGAACCTATTGTCATAATCTGCTCCACAAGTTCCCCTTATCTGAGAAAGGAGTAACAATGTCTTTGCACTGGGCCCTCTCTGGTCCTCACCTTCATCATTTTTGCATGGCTCCAAAACAGCAAGTCCCTTTTCCATTATGCCAGCCTTCCTCAGCCTCCCCAAATTTCCAGACAGCCAGGCCAAAAAGCTGTATGTCTTTGGAAGCTGCCATCCCATGAGATCTGGGCAGCATCAAGTAAAGGTTTCTAAAGATAGTGGATCACTTCTGTTATCTAGAGAACAAGCAACCATATGGTATGAGCCACGAGTAACAGCATACTGGTTCTATTCCTGAGAAGCAAAGCTGGGAACTTCCTGATCTTTCTCTCTTGAATAACTTGTCCAATTTATGCTTGCTTCTTTAAACAAGAGTAGCCAACACTGTTCAGCTGAAACAAGCGCAAGCATCAAGCCAGGACTAGCAGTTCTCAATACACAGATGCTTCTCCAGGGTTCCTTCAAACATCAGAAGTGCAAAAGGAAAACAATAACCCAGGTCTGTTTCTCCTTAGCTCATTATAGCTTCCCATCTCCTAGTTAGAACAGGAAGCCAAACACATGGAGTTTCTGGAAGCCTAATTAATAGAACATCTTCAGAGGCCATGATGGGTGCCACGTCAATTAAGTCTCAGCCTGGTCCGTTCCGTCATCCAAAGAGTAGAGGGGGAGGAATCTGTCTTCCTTCCAAACGTTGGTCATCTCTCAGTGCGTACTCATTCTTAAAACTGAGGAGATGCCAAGGCTCAAAGGGTTGGCCTGCTGCGTACCTGGAACTACTCTTGAATATGCAGGAAGACACCAACGCACGTTCCCAGCTGCAGGCTTTTCCTTCTGGGTGGGGGTCTGTATTCCAGTTTGCCTGAGACAAGGCAGCTGACCTTCTTTAATGACTCCCTGTTATATTCACAGGGGGATTTTAATCATCCCTTCAATGCATGTTTATGAATGAGTGCTGGATTGATATTAACTTATGTCAGCAAATATGATGTAAGAATAGCTTTTCCCCCAGAATACCTAAATTTGCTGCTATGACCTTCCAAATCAGCCCTTTGTATGGGATAAGATGTAAGATATGTCCATGGCTTCCAAAAATTCCCTCCCTCCAAAATCAGTGTGGACTTTTGGCGAGCGGCCTAGGACTCTTCTTACCCCACTGACGACTCTCCGTTCCAGGAACGCATGACGACGACGACACAAAGAAAGATTACCATCAGCAGCATTCCAAGATGGGAACAGCCTAATCTTAGTCTCTGACCGAGGGCCGCGGCATGGAGAGGTTTCCTGGGAATAAGCACCAGAGGCCAAAGGCGAGGCCCAGTGGACATGGCCCTCCAGGGGAGGAGGCGTCCACGAATCCCAGCACGCCGAGGCCGTGCTTTCGCATCCGCTAGATAGCCCAAAATACCGCCTTCCCCGCAGGGACAGGAAGGGAGCATCGTCGCTGCTGGCAAGGGATGGTTCGCCGCCTCCCAGAGGCCTCCGGCCCCGCGGCTCCGCAGATGGCCTGAGGGCGAACGCGGAGCGGGGCCGCTGCTTCTGTTTCCTTGGCTGCCCTCCTCCCGCTTCCCTCCCCGCCGGAATGTCTGCAGCAGCCGCGGCTGGGGGCAGAGCGGGGCACGGCCGGGCCCTCGACGTCCCCAGGCGCCTCGGCCCGGTTTCCACTCTGGGCCGCGCGGCA